GTAATACACGCCATAGGTTGTGTTTGTGAAGCAGCTCGTCGAGCTCATTTACGTCTTTGTTGTCAGCGAACTTGAAAATCTCCCTCACCGTCTTAGCTTCTGCTAATGTTTCTGCGGTTGCGGTGGTTGTTATATCTTCTGGCCAAGCACTTGGGTCTGACAGCCACTTCGGCCCGCACCACCAGAGTTCATCATCTTGTTTTACTTGTCCTCCGCGGCTCCCCAGGTCCGCTGGATTCTCCTTAGTGGGCACGTGTCTCCACGTTATCCATCGCTTCTGCTGAATCTTGAGCACCCTGTTGTGCACAAACTGCTTGTAGTTACCATTCCCTCTAATTCAGTGGAGAGCGACGGTACTGTCTAACCAACTGTAAACTTGATCGACTGGATGACCTTCCAATACTTCTTTTACGTTAGTGGCTAAGTTTGCGGCCATGTGACCGGCGACTAGCTCCAGGCGCGGTATTGAGAGGCCCTGTTTGGCCAATCTTGCCCTTGCTGCTATTATCCCTTGTGTTACTCCAGAGGGTTGCGTGACCACCGTAAATGCTGCTGCTGCCACGCCCACCCCACTTGCATCTCCAAACACATGAAGGGCTATGCTGATGATTGGCTCCTGGAACTGGACTAAGGACCTCACGAACTGGATTCTTTCAGGCAGGCTTGACTCCCAATGGGCTCATTGTTTGGCAAGATCAGGGGGTAACTGCTCATCCCAGCCGACTCTTAGATTACAGGCGTCCCGATATAGTAGCTTTCCACTAAGTGAGAGGGGTGACGCCATTCCAAGGGGATCGTATATGCTCGCTACTTTGGCTAGAATTCCCCTCTTGGTGTTGTCGACCTTCGGGGTGGGTACTGTGACACTAAGTAAATCTCTGAGCTTGTCCCACTTCAGGCCAAGCAGTGAACTTTCTCCCCTGACGATATCCCCAGTTGCTGTTTGGCGAAGGTCTGGTCTGCACTCTGATCGGTTTCGATAGGGGCTAACTCAGGAACGTTTGAATGCCATTTATGAAGCTCGAAGGCGGCGTCAGCAAAGATCTCCGTGGCTGCAATTTTCATTTCTCTTGCCTTGGAAGTTGTTGATCCTCCGCTTATTAGATCATCCACATACAAACTCTTCTTGATCTCGCGCACAATTTTAGGTTGCTTGTGGCTCCAGGCATCCAAATGTTGCTCAATAACTCCTGCTAGGAGGAAGGGTGAGGGACCCAAACCGAACAGTGCTCTTGTGAAGCGGAGTGTCTCTACTTCCTTGGACTCCACGTTCTTCAGCCAGTGGAACCTGAGGGCGTCTCTTTCTTCTGGTCGGATTCTGACTTGTAGAAAGGCTTTCTTGATATCACCAGTGATGGCAACTGGATTGAACCGCCCTCGAACCAACACACTCCATAGCTTGTTTTGTAACGGTGGACCGGTGTTCAGACATTCATTTAGAGATGGCGCACTGTCCCAGGCCCTTGCGGAGGCGTCATACACTATCCTCAATTTGGTGCTTTCAGCGGTTTCACGCACCACTCCCTTGTGGGGAATATAGAATTCCCGACCTTGGACGGTGTTTGGGGCGCGCTCCACTATTCCATCGGCCAACTGCTCTTGAATTATGGCATTGTAGTCGCCGATGGACTTCGTCTTCTCTAGCTTCCGTACCAGACAAGCCAGTCTGCGCAGACTTCGTTCTTTATTGTTTGGCAAGGGAGGATGATTTCCCTTCCACGGGAGACCAGTTTCATACCATCCTTCTTCGCTCCTACGCAGCTGCTCCCTGAACTCTTCGTACACTACACTCTGATCGCCTGTAGGGGTATCTGCTAAACCAAGAACGTCCAGTTTACACAGTTCCTCGTAATCCACGATAGAGGTTTGTGTGAGAAGCATGTTAGTCGTGTCTAGTTCCTGGCCCGGCGAAGTGATGGTCCAACCAAACTTGCAACTGGATCCCACTCTCTTCCCACGCGTTGAGGCTCGGTGGTGCTTATTCTGGGGCATTCACTGTTACCAAGGATAAGGTGAACTGGTAGGCGAGCTTTATCATCTGCGTCATCCATGGTCACGCCCTTCAGATGGGGATATTTCGCTAGAATGTTCTTGTAATGGGGGTTCTTTAACATCATGAGTTGAGGCTTCTCCACTTTAGTAACGTCAGCTTCCATCTCGAAGTCTCCCTTGAGCGAGCGTAGCTTGATTCGGTAAATGTCCATGGTTCGGTTAACTGTGCCTAGCATCATCTCTATCTTGCGCATCCCAGAGTGATGAGATCGTGCTCCGATTTGCTCAATGAGTGCAGCTGAGGCGTACGAGCTGCCCGCCCCGGAATCCAGCAAAGCTCGACATTTCACTCCAGCGACTTCTACGACAACCACGGGGTACACCACTGGGCCATCACCTGCTTGAGAAGCTGTCATCGAATTTTCTGCCATTTCCGTTTTGTCACAGATCGATGTGTGATGTCTTCGCTTGCACACGAAACATCTTCTTCTGCTCCTGCATTCGGTGACCTTGTGATCGGATCCCGTGCAGTTAAAACATAGGCTCTTGAGTTGGAGAATTCTTTTCCTTTGAGATGGCTGGGTCACTTTACTGCACTCGTGTGACCGGTGTTCCGCGCTGTCACAATAGACACAGCTGCGCAAAGGCGTGTCCCCCTGAAGCGTTTGATAAATTGGAAAGCTCGGGAGCTCCCGGTTCTTGTCATTGACTTTGACAGGTAAAGGATTCCGTTCCGTCCACTTACGCAGGGCGTCCACGAACTTCGGAAAGTCCCAGGTCTGCCAGTCGTCATCTGTTCTCACCAGATCACTTCGTATGCCTTCCAGCTTGTCAATGGACATTCTCACGTTCCCATTAACTTCCTTTAGCTTTCCTAACGTTTCTAACGCTTGCACATTGAACAATAAATTCTCATAAAACTGATGGATTTTTACTGGGTTTGAACCGCTTATCGTCGGTAACGCCATTATGTTTTGTACGTAAGCATTAACTACTTCTGAAGTTTTCCCATACTTGCTTTTGAGGATGTTTTTAGCGCGCTCATACTCCTCACTCGAGAATGGGAGGCCATCGATTTCGGCTCTAACTTTGGTAACCAAGAGATCCTTCAGATAAGCGAGGTTTGTTACACCAGCTAAGTCACTGCAACTGTCTATTTCTGCTTCAAAAATATTCCAGAAACGGAGCCAATCTGTGTAAGAACCATTGAACTTAGCAATTGTTAGCTTGGGAAGCTTCGTGCGCTGTACCTCGCTGGTTTTGATTTCGCTTGCCTTTGTTGCCTGATTCTTCTTACACTCTTCTATTTTTAATTCGTATTCGAGCTTCTGTTTGAGCTGTGCTCGCTCAAATGCTAACTGTTCCTCGCGCTCTTTCGCTTTAAGAGTACTCTCCTTTTCCTTAGTGTGAAGGTCTTCTTCGGCTTTAATTTTAGCTAAACGCTCAGATAAACGGGCGAGTTTCGTGTCGACCTCGGCTACGTGACCTTCAATACCCGCGGTCCAACTATCAATGGCCTCTTGTGTATCGCCCCTCTTAAACATTTCTTCCAATACTTTGAGCTTCGCTTGATCTAGGCTTCCCACTATGGTGGTCAGCGCTTCCCGGTGCCTTGTAATTGCTAGCGCACTGTTTGACTCGAGTATTTCGTTGGTTCTCCCCAGGGTAAAATCAAGGAGTTTTACTTTACCTTTCACGTCTGCTTGAAGGTTCTCCATGGTTGATTACGAGACTCTTGTTAAACGGCTTCCAGGTCAAGTCGGAGGTGCCACTGTGTTGCGAATGCCAAGACTGAACAGGCCGTTCTTCGCAAACTTCACAAGTTTATTCTAAGATCACAAGGTTCGCTTTCCTCTCTCGCTCTGACTGTGTACTTGTACTAAAAAGACTCAACACACGGCACTCCTTAAAACTTAGCGAAACCA